ATATATATATATATATATATATATATATATATAGTAATGGGCATATGCTATTATAGAAGCTTCCAGTCGCCCCTAATGTGTCTAACAATTCAATACCATCTCCTTAAGATCAATTGTGCTAGAGAAGATTCAAACCACCAACCTGAGGTGATTTATACCTTGAATGCTAACTAAAAGGTTAGGGGTACGCAACACCAGCACTAATTCTTAAGTATATATATTTAGCAGCTAAATTTTGAGTTATAGTAATATAATAAAAAAAAAATTAATTATACAAAAGTACATTAATGCTAATTTTTTTTTAATGAAATATATAGTTTTATGCATATACTTTAATGTACTTAAAACACTAAAATGTTTTATAAAAAAATTATAATAATTAGGTATTTTATATATAAATACATGTAAAATATGTGATATGTATGTAAATCCTTCTTAAATTACATAAATATTATATAATAAAGCAATATAAATGAGCCGTGTGCGAGCTAGATGAGCTAACAAGTCAAATTTAAACAGGCTCTGAGTCAACTCGTAACTCGAGCTAGCATGCTTGAGAGATATATAAAATATATTAAATTACACTAGCCAATGTATAAAATTATTTAAATTACTTAAACAATATATTTAAATTACATGAACCACTTTTAAGTGAAATTATTTTGATATCTGTGTCATTTTATGTGATAAATGTTGATCAAATTATTTATGTGATTTCTGCTGGATGCTAAAAGTACTTTTTATTTAAATGCATTTTTTTATTCTAAAAAACACTCAAAACGCTTAAAAGATATTTTAAATATTTTTAAAAATTACCATCATATGCAAATAAATTTTAATATTCAAATCAAAATATAAATAAAATAAATTAAATTATGTAATTTTCAAGCCCATTATAAATATAATTATATAAACACATCATCATAAAGTTTCTTTCATTACATTTATGAGATTGGGTAGCATTAACCAACTATATACTTTTTTTAATTCAAAAATATTAATAACTTGAACATAATATAATGAAATAAAGAAATAATTAAAGTTATTTCAACTCTGCATGATAGCTCCTTTGCTCTACACATTTGTCTCTTCTTCAAAACCGCTTCTTTGGTATTCTTGGTCTCTCCTTCTTCTGTGTTTTGGGGTAGCTTTTCTTGGGCTAATATTGGTTGTTCGTCTTTTGGCTTAGGATACGTTTGAGGCGGCGGTGTGGTGCCGCATCACAGTTTTATCTATTTGGGTAAATTGCATTTTAACAGATTTTTCAAAAAACTGATGTTGAAATCTGTGTTTTCCCACCGGTCCTAACTTAGTGTGAAAGCATCTTTCTAGCTGTGATCTAACTTTTCAAAATAAAATTATAATTATCACCACAGCTTTTTGAACATTACATTATTTTTCAACAGCTTCACATATATTTTTTAATAAGCTGCAGTTGCACCAAATAGACACTTAGGCTTGGTAGTGATTGTTGTTCTTCAATTTTTGTTGATTTGAATTCCGTCTTCATTTTATAAATATTAAAAACGTGCATTTACATTTTTTTTTTTCGGTTACAAGTTGTTCGATCTAAACTTTTATGGTCGACATTGATAGAACATAATATTATTCCAACGAAGTTGTCGATTAACCAAAACGCTCGATGACTAATATTATTCGCCGGCTGCTCACGAAAATAATGATTTAAAATATTTTACTTAACATTTTTATTATGCTGAACTTTAAGTTTAATTAGTTTGTGCATATTATATTTATGTTAAAATAAAATCAACAACTCTAAAATTTATTATGATGCACATTTTTTTTGGGACTAACTTATAATTAGTATACGCTAAAGCTTCCTTAATTATAGGAGGATTTACAAACATACCGCTCAAAATATTCTATTTTGCCTATCCAACACCCTAAATTCAGAAAATTACATGCATGCCAAAGGTGGCAGGTATGTAAATTTTGAGTTTAAGATGTTAGATACATAAAATAGAATGTTTGAAGTGGCATGTACATAAATCCCTTTTACTTGTATGGTTGTATGATTGATCGACCTTTTCTTTTTGAACAAATTGTACTATCGGTTCACTGCATGGGTGTAAGTAAGTCGAGTCTGATTTGAGTCAAGGCTTATATGAGCTCAGCCTTCTCACTCAACGGCAAGCTCAAACTCGAATGGAGTTTGTCAGACTATGAACTCAAGCTCGGCTCGTTGGAAGAACAGCAAATTTGAGCTTGACTTTTGAGCTCAAGCCAGAGTCAATATAGAAGTTTGTTGAAGGAGAAAAACTCGTGATGATTGAATCAATGGAAGTTTACTAGAAAAGATAATAATGAGTATATTATACAATTAATAATTTAACCTAGATTTCAATTTATGACCCGATAAACTCGACTCATAAATTTGCTAACAAGTCAAGTTAAAGTCCGTTCGAGTAAGCTTACTTAGCCCCCTGTTTGAGAAGGCTTTCAATTTTCGTTCGGTCGCACTCAATGCTGATTGAGAAAATTTTATGTTTGACAACGGAGCATTTCCGAACATTATTGTACAGAAAGTCATTCTGACACGAGACTTTTGAACGACGAAGCTCCTTGAAACGAAGAGTATAACTAATTTTCACTAACCAACAAAATATTATGAATATAATATAAACAAAAAGAATAGATATTTTTCTTCCTTTTTCCTAAAATACAATGGTCAAACGAAAACCATCGGGAACACGGTATTGGCAAGGAGAAGCCGAGAAGGCAGAGGTGGGCCCCGCCATTGTCGTCCCCACCATTCCACCCATCAATAATTGCTTTCCTCCACCTCCTCCCGCTCCCCTCTCTCTCTCCTCTGCATCGTCACCCATCTCCACCCTGTTTTAACAGAACCCATGATGCTCGACCGAATCCATCTTCTCCTTCCCGTCACCCTCATCTTTCTCCTCCGCCTCATCGCCGTCCACACCTCCGATTCACCGCCGGAGAAACCGGCGAGCGCGTACGAAGTCCTCCGCCGGCACGGTCTCCCCATCGGACTCTTCCCTAAGGGCGTTCAAGACTTCCGAATCGGCAGCGATGGTCGATTCGAGGCGCATTTGCCGGAGGAATGCACGGTCACGTTCGAAACGGCGGTCCATTACCAGCGAAACGTCACAGGAATGCTCTCTTACGGCCAGATCGCCGGCATCTCTGGAGTCACCGCGCAGGAGCTTTTCCTCTGGTTCCCCGTTCGAGTTATCCGCGTTGATATCCCCAGTACAGGTCTCATCTACTTCGACGTCGGCGTGATCTACAAACAGTTCTCTCTGTCCCTCTTCGAGACGCCTCCTGATTGTCGCCCTGCTTCCCACGATCGGCTTATCGAGGTACCCTAATTTCACCTTCCCTTCCCTTCGCTCTTCTCTCGATATCAACATCTGATGATTGGTGAATGAATTGGAGCAGAGAGTAAAATCTGTGAGGATCCGAGTTGATCGCGATGAGGAAGATGGCGGAAGAGCAACTGTTTGAATTCGAATGGGGGGAGAGAGTTAGGGTTTGCTGCTAGGGTTTGTTTGGTTGGCGGATTTGATTCGATTTCTGAAGCTGATGAGAGCTCGCATGCCTGCGATTATGACATAGAGATCAAATTTTGGCCGTGTTCTGGTCTCGCCGGAGTTCTGCGGAGCGAAGCCGAAGCGTTCTGGAGAATGTGGGTGGGAGAGAAATGGGACTTGGGATAATGGGTGTAATTTTTTTTTTCGATAATAAAAAAATAGAGATTTATATGCATTTTGTTGCCTTATTATGTGCTTTTATATTTAATATTTATTTATTTATTTATTTATTTATTTGTATGATATTTTTATATTTAAATGATGTTAAAATATATGTATGAAATATATGTATGAAAGTATATGGTTGTTGTTAAATATGTGGGATATTGATTTGAAATAAATTGAAGAATTAGTGCATTTATCATTAAATTCTTGGGGTAATTACATATAGAACATCATAAATATTGATATTTATAAGTTAATTATGTGGATGATTTTTTTTTCAAATTTTCGAATCGATATATTTACCCGTGTCATGATCAAATCATTGAGAATTTGATAAAAATAAAAATATATAGGTTGGGATTTTATCATGAATTTTTATATTTGAGCGAGAATTTGAAAAATAGACGAAAAATAGTGGTTGATTTGTAAATAGCAAGTTTCGGATGGTCTATATGTAATTGTGTCTAAACCTTACATCTAAATCTTTTTATTTCATATGTATTCAATCTAAATTATCATTTACATCACTTTAACTAAAGCACAAGGTATCATCACATACACATATTTTAGAGGCATTTACATACATAGCACCTTTTTTATGTATCTATATATTTCACAATTAAATTTTCATTTTTACGGATATAGCACTAATATTTTTAATATCACGTTAAAAATAATGTTATTACTATTTTCAAAAAGTGAATTATATATTTTCATGCATAGATTTAAAATAATAGTGTTGTGCTATCAAATATGAAAATACTGATGTGATACATCATTGATAAATTCATCATCCAACTCGAATCTTGAGACATGACACGAATCTCGAGATAATTTTTCGAGCAAAAAATATTCAAACTTTAATTAAAAGTCGTCAAGGGCTCAAATATCAACAAACTTATAATCAAAATGACCAGCTCGACGAGGTGGACCCAATGGTACCAAAATCAGTCCAATCAAATTCAAATCAATTTCAGATCAAGTTATTAAATCACTTTTGAAAGCTTTCTGAGTATATTTGGAAGACCAAATAAATATCGAATCTCGCGAGCTTATAGTTGAATTGAGCGTCTTGACAAGACAAATCTAACGAGCTCAATGTCGCTCAATTCTGACACTGTTTAAGCACTCAGATGTCCAGCAAACGTCGGCTGATCAAATGAAGCTCTTTGGATCATCCGATCAAAATGATTTATATTTATGCATTAATTGCACCTGAAGCTCTATAAACAAAGCCCACCCTCTCATGAGGGGGGAGAGCTTCAGATTTGAGGAAGAGCTTAAAGCTTCGAGAAGGAGCTAAAGTCCAGCACCACCACCGCCCACCGCGCTGAAGCTCAAATCTCTACAAACTAGGCCATCATTGCACATAAGGAACAATTTGAGTGATTGGGGGAACAAACATTAAATCTCACAGTGAAAAAAGCTCATATCACATGGGAAACAGCGGTCATGATCTAAAAAAGAAAACATAACACTTAACAGGTCACTTGTCAACATCCTAATGGCCTTCAAGGATGAAGAGGTTGTCAGGTGGTCAAGGTTGTTAAGAAATCAAGATGGTGGAGTCGAGTCTAAATATTGTCATTTCTATCGTGCAAAAAGACATTCGACAGAAGGATGTTTTTAATTAAATGAAGAAATTGAAAGTCAGCTACACCATGGTTGTTTAGGTTGCTACTTACAAGAACAATATGAGTGGAACCATAAGAAAATCATTTGAGTTATCGAATGTAAAGTACAACTCCAAATTATCTTATTTGAATAAAACTGTCTTATAAGCTTCTAATTTTACTTTAGTAAAACTTCTTGTTGTCTTCAACTGTCATTTCTGTGAAATGTTCTTATTTTCTCATTAAAGATTTTTTTGTGTAGAAAGTCCCCTTGAGGGCAAGCGGCAGACAAGGACCCCATCCATGCTCATGGAAGTTGAGCCCAAGAGGCAAGACTTGACGAAAATAAGAAAGTTGTCAAAAAGACTTCAAATATGAGTAAGAGCTAGAAGCTTCGAAAAGAACTGAAGTCCAGCAACACCACCGTCGACTGTCGTCGACCACCACTGACCTCTGTTGACCATTGTCGATCAACCTTTGAAAAGTCAAATGGAGGGCTCATTATGAGAATGGGCATGTGTCACCTTACAAGGCTCCTATCTCAAATTCCTTTGGACCAAGCTAGGGTGGTCAAGCCAGCCCAACTCTGAACTCCTTATCCACCTCTCCTCTCCTCCAATGAGTTCCAAATCCTCTCGAACCGACATTCTTTTCCATATTTAATACCATGATGAGCACACCATTGGGAAGGGGAACTTCGACAATTCTTGACAGAAGATCGGTCCCTGAGGGCTTCTGAGATTCCTTGAGTAGCCACTTATCTTCTCCAATCAGCCCAGATCTCTCTAATGGCCTTCAATGACTATTTAAGGCCTTTACCCAAGAGTCCTCACACACATGAAAAATCTTACCTGAAGCCTTTGAATCATCTAGAATTCAATAGCAAACTTACCCCTCATCTCTTAGGCAATTAATCTTTCACATTTTTAGCCACTTAAATTCATCAACAAACTCTAATTTCTCAAGCTAAAACAAGGACAAATTTTCGGTTAGACATGAACCATATTAAAACTCCAACCTAAGCATCTCAAAAGCTTCCCAAGATCTCCATGACACTTCCCCAATCGAAATTGAGCCATCTTGAGGTCCCTAACCTAATCTAAGCCGAAATCGAGCCAGCATTTCACTAAGATCATACATAAGCTCAATTTCAGAGCAAATTGAACTAAAAAGGAGCTTGGCAAGGTCACCACGAATGTGTTAGCCAATTCGAATTGAGGCCAAACCTCTTGGGCTAAGGTATGCTTCACAAACCCTAAAAAAAGTCTTGGGTTTGACCCTTTATAAAGAAAAGTATTACACCATGCTTCATTTGCCATATAGATGTATTCCTCTAAGTGCGATGAAGCTTTAGAAACAAATTTCAAAAGATTGGTGAAAGATACAGAGAGATCATATGGTTTAAATATGAATGGTCATCAGTTAATTATCCCATAAGGATGATGAACCGATGCTGTCCATTTCCATGTATCTGAAATGGATGGTATCGATTGAGTTGAACCGCTAAACTATCCATACAAAGGGAACTTAAACTGTGGGCCATCTCTGCGCCAGCGTGGAAAGCGCCGAGAACTAGAGATTGCAGCGTGGACTTCAAAGCTGCCTGGGAGGGACGTGGCGCCGCGTCGGATAAGTAGGAAAAGAGGAGTTTTCTTATTTATTTAAATCCAGAAAACCTAATAAACTTCAGAAAATGATATATCTGCTTAGAAAAATCACAAAAATAAATGGAAAATACTCCTAAACTCAGTTGATCAAGGAGAAAATAATAAAAATAAAATTAAAAATAATTAACTTATCTTTAATTTTTAATTAATTAAATAATCTTTGGAGTATTTTAATTTTTCAAAATTAAGTATGAATTCAAAAATTATGAAACTTGCAGAATTATTCTCTACATCTTTTGGAATATTCCTTGATTTTTCCAAATACGGGGGTTGTCCCTATAATGAAAATGACCAAATTTCTATCACTTTTGTAATTATTTTGAAAAATAATTATGAAAATTAGAAAATTGGAAATTAAAAATGGGAATTGACTAGAAAGTTTAGAGTAATTGTAAAAGAAAAAAAATTAAATGAAATTTTAGAAATCCAGCGGCAAAATTATAAAATTCAATATTTTTCATTTTAGTCCAAATTGTCCCTAAACCTAGTTTGAACCATTTGATTAACTCTAGGACCCTAACTCTAAGAGTTTAATAGCATGACTATCTCTACAACCATGAAAACGACTCTATAATTTAGGGTTTGGCCTAATTTAAGCATAAAGTTAGGTTAAGTGTTGGGTCCAACCAATTTGGACTTAACCCAATCCAAAATCCAAAATCACCTGAACTTGAGTTGAAAATATTGTCTAACCACTTGAAGTATGTGTTTATGGGAAACTCATCTACATTATATGTTATTATATCTTCAGAGTTAAATGATTTGCAAGAGCAAAGACTTTTGGATACATTAAAAAGATATAAGAAAGCTTTTGGTTGGATCTTAGCTGATATTAAGGGAACCAGTCCTTCGATCTGTATGCATAGAATTATACTAGATGAACAATACAAACCAAGAGTTGATCCACAAAGGAGATTAAACCCAATGATGAAAGAAGTAGTCAAGAAGGAAATTTTGAAATGGTTGGACACCGGAGTTATATATCATATTTCAGACAGTGCTTGGGTAAGTCCAATTCATTGTGTTCCTAAGAAAGGAGGAGTGACTGTTGAAACAAAAGAGAATAATGAATTAATACCTATCAGACAAGTTACTGGGTGGTGTATTTGCATTGATTATAGAAAATTAAACACTGTCACTAGGAAAGATCACTTTCCTTCACCATTTTTAGACCAAATAGTAGATAGACTTGTTGGGCACAAATATTTTTGTTTTTTAGATGGATATATCGGTTATCATCAAATACCTATTGCTCCTGAGGATAAAAAAAAGACAACATTTATTAGTCCTTTTGGTACTTTTGCTTTTCGAAGAATGCCTTTCGGATTATGTAATGCACCTGCAACATTCCAGAGATGTAAGATGTCTATATTTAGTAAGTTAATTGATGATGGATTGGAATTATTTATGGATGATTTCTCTGTATTTGGAACATCATTTATCTTGAAAAAGTTTTGGAGTTATGTGAAAGAACTAATTTAGTTCTAAATTGGGAGAAATGTCAATTTATGGTTGCAGGAGGAATTGTGTTACGGCATAAAATTTTGAAAAATGGTATGGAAGCAGACACTGCAAAAATTCAGGTTATATCTAAATTAACACCTCCTATTAATGTAAGAGAGGTTAGGAGTTTTCTTGGACATGTTGGTTTTTACAGGCGTTTTATTAAAAAATTTTGAAAAATTACTAAACCTCTATGCTAACTTTTAGAAA